TTTTCTGTGAGTTTGCGTCCTTGGAGTTTTCCTTTCAGCGAAGGGTGGGCGGTACTACGACTTTGATATTGATCTGATACCAAATAAATACTTGGCAAATTTATTTGATACTGAAGTCAACATCAATGCTTTTTACTTGCAATGGGATGTTCATTGAATAACTTTGATATTGCAGACACCCCTCCTGGTGGTGAAACAGATTGTTGTAGGGAGACAGTACGACCTGTCACAGATTATGAACAAACAAGTCTTTTTTCGTTTCTGTCTTAAAGTAATTTTCTTTTATGCTATCTGAAACAGAAAATGAAACTCAAATCATTTAAAAAATTTCATTCATCCCTTTTTGACACTAAGAACAAGAAACGCTTTGTATTTTAATTTTAATTTCAATATTTTAAAACAAAAATCAAATATCCAATTGGTTCTTGTTTCTTAATACCCATTTAGAAAATGAAAATCCAATGACCAAAAGATACACTGACCTCTCAGTAACCTGGTTTTCAACATATAGCCCCTGGCAACAATCATGGAATCAACACGYTTCTTGGATCTTTTTTCAATTATTTCATTTTGTATGTTGAGATGAAAAATCAGATATGCCATAAAATTCCTTTATTTTCTTTTTAAGTATTCCAACCTTCAGGCATTAAAAAAGTAATAATTATTATAATCAGTTACAGTTGCTGTTTTGATCAAGTTGAGGGAAAAATGTGGAAACATTCAAGTCTGAAGAGAAAAATGAATTCAGACTCATAAGAAAAACACTTCACGATTAGTATTCTGAATTCTCTGAGAAACAGACCTAACTAATGACAGTCTTTATCAGTCTGACTCAAAATATATATCGCACTGCACAGCTTTGCAGGTTGAAACCTTGTCATTGACCATMGTCTTCAACAGCTCTCTAAAATGTTAGCTCTCTAAACTGAACCATGGCTGCAATTTATTTAAATAAAAAAAATTATTGAAAGAACATTCTTCAGGAGTGGTGATTGCATAAGTATTGCCATGAGTTGTGTTTTTATTGTGTTTGTTTTAATTYATGGTGCAGTGTCAGAGCTAAGCACAATTTACCTCCAACTTCCCTTTTTTATTAGGCTATTTAAAAAAGGTACTTCATTGTTTTACCTCAGGAAGTATGTTAAAATAATACACCATGTTAAWATGACTTAAGTATTACAGTAATACTTACAGTAATACTTCGCAGAACTGCCTTTGTTTCTAAACATTATTTTACTTGTATAAATAAGCCTTGCATTCTTTTTGAAACTGTTTTCCTCATTGACGTATTGTTCTGTTTGTTTGTGCTCATTGAAAGCTTCTGAAAGCTACTGTGTTTACTGAGTACTACCTCAACAAGTAAAGTGAATAGACTAAGTTTTAGCTATTTTTTGTTTTGTAGCAAGAGTATTTGCATTTAAATTTTGAATTAGACAAAACAGTTCGACTAATTCACAGCAAGATTTTAATATTGTTGGTTGATTTTCAAAGACTTAGAGATCTCTCAAAAAAAAATCATAAGATATACCAGGTTTGGTCCTACAGTGTGTTGTGTACAGCCACACAGCAAAGGCAACACACCACACAAACGGAGGTCATTCAAACATTCAGATGAGAAATCTCAAGATCCAATGTGAGTTCAGAGTAAATAAACATGGCAGAAAAGGACAAGGCAATGACAATAGTTTGTAGACTATTTCAACAGAGAAAAAAAATCAAAACTACTTCTCCAATGTCATGGCAGTGGTTTTGTCTTCTGTATCYTGGATTCTCCTCCATGTTTCCATCTCTTCACTTGTGATTGGCTACATGTCACATTGAACAGGCTGCGAGCTCGTTTGTCCTCAGGGAGCGACACACACACGGGGATATCAGGCCAAGACAATCCAACTTGATCTCCCCAATTTGAGGTTGTAGCAGTTCCAACATCTTTCCTAGCAGACTAGATCACTCATAACTCACCACACATGGCAGGAAGCTCTCCTAAGATTATCTTTAGAGCCATAACAATAATCAGAACATCCTTACGACTGTCAGAAGGGCAAAACTGGGCYAGAAATCTGCCCATCTTGCTGTGTGAACCTGACATTAGGGCATTTTGATGTCTTAGGTATAGTCAAAATTAAATAAAAATGTATATCTAAGATTACCGTATGTTTTGATGTTACTGTAAAGACAAAAAAAAAATCCTATTAAATTTTCCCTGCCCCTAATAAAAGTGACTACAGTTTCTGACATGATGCTTTCATCAGGTCTTGGATCTAACATGCTTGGTTTTGCTAGGCATTTAGGCATTCTTTCATAACATGAGGGACAGTTAGCGGAGGCATATGTAGMCAGCACAGGTTTGCTTTGCTTGGGTTTCCTACCTCCTCGTGATTTTTCAACACAATTTTTTTAATGAGACCTTCTGGCTTACTTGTTTATTCCATCGTTGAAGTCTTGCATTGTTACTCAAAATGGCAAATAATTTCAAAATCTGTTTCTAGTCAGTGTTTCAAGGGCAGGAAGGTTACTTCATCTAGAGTTTGCAGTATGTGTGTGTTGACTGGGCCAAGTAGCAATGTCAGTTTCATATTCTATAGAGAGGGCTTCCAAATGTTCATAAAATCATCACTAAAAACAAAATAGTCCTCAAACTAGATGAACYAGGGCACGGGCCTGCATTTACACCAAGCATTTTGAGCTTCATGTTGGATTATACATATTTTTAATGTAACGTTTTTAGTACAYTAACCTGTTGGTAAGAAAATTACTGGTGGACAACAATCAGTGCTGTAAGTTTACTCATATGAGACCCCTAGTATTTTGAGACAGTTTTTATATTTTTGTCTAATTTTAAGTCCATTCCTCTGATTTGATGGGTCAACATATTGCTACATGTAAGTMTTAGAAGAATCTGAAATTGAATATATTTTGCATAAATTCAAATGAAGATGGAAGTTAAGATCTGCAGAGTAATTTAATAACCAGAGMCCCGTTTCAGAAAGCAGGATAAGTAATATAAGTTCTGGGGTAACTGTGCATACCCAGGGTTTTTGGTTTCAGAAAGCCAGATAACCGTTATCTTGAGTTAACTTGCCTCCACAACTTACTCTGTGAACCAACCCTGCTCTGCAGCAGGATTACTTGAATAAATCCCGAGGTTGTTTCACTTTTTAGCTGAGCTGCACGAGGACAGATTCAGACAGGACATGTCCTTTTCTGTAGATGCATTTTTATTTTTATTTTATTTTTTTATGATATTCTCCACACTCCGTCATTAATATTTTTAGTTTCAGAGAGAGAAATAGACTTCCGGTCGTCTTATTTCCTCCCGTTGCCATGGTGAATCGCATTATCTGACTTCACTGATGAGGGCTTCCTGCTCCAACTTAACTCTGGGGTGACTTGACTCAGAATTAAGGTACCCAGATGATATCACCTGTTCTGAAACCGAAAAACCTGAGTATCACAGAGCGGGGTAAGTTGACTCAGAGTATCTGACCCAGGGTTTGTTAAGCCTGCTTTCTGAAACTGGGCCCTGGTGKATGTTWAAAAAAAAAAAAAAACAAGTCATATAAGCTTATTTCACACAAATCTTCAGGGTTCCCATGGGTCCTTGGAATCCTTGAAAGTTTGCCAATTTGAAAAAATGATTTCAAGGCCCTGGACAGTTTGTGAAAACAGCCAAAAATTACACTTGTCCTTGAAAGTCCTTGAATGTTTTTTGGGGATTGAAGTTCTCTATTCACACGACTGATTTTCATCATCTGTAAAAAAWAATAATAATAAAATAAAAAAAATCTTACATTTGTTGCGGCAGATAACTCAGGATTCAGCCCTGCATTATTTATTCTTGTGTGTAGTTAATGTTTGCACAACAGCACATGAATCATGCATGCCATCTTCTCACGGGTGTATTGGTGAATTGCATAATTATATCTCCTTGTATTGTGGATATGAATGTAGGGTATACATTTAATCCACTTTATTTAATTCATTCTGACTCAACAACTGCAATGCTTAAAGTGAATTTACATGATATTAAACCTGTTTATTGGTAACATTCGGCAGTAGCAGTAGGTAATTGCGGAAATGTGGAGGAAATTGGGACTGGAAAGTCCTTGAAAGGTCCTTGAATTTGATGTTGACCAAGTTGTGGGAACCCTGCTTCTTGTTCTTAGTCATTAGGGAGGAATTTCTGTGGGTTGACTGGTGGGAAGGTTGTGACAGACATGAGAAGGAATGGGTGTGTGTGTGTGTGTG